TTCTGCACATCCAACCTCAAGGAGAAAGAGGTAACCAGGTTTTTTTCTATTGCCCACTACCTAGGGCCAACTTGCCTGGATCCCCCATGAAGAAAGACTGGGGGGCTGGGGTTGCGGCTCAGCGATAGAGCACTTGCCTAGCAAGWTTGAGGCACTAGGTTCGATCCTCAGCACCACATAAAAATAAATACATAAAATAAAGGTATTGTGTTCATCTACAACTAAAAAAAAAAAAATTAAAAAAAAAGAATGACTCCTTTTTTGTGACTGAGCAGCATTGGGAAGCTGCTGGGCCTCCGGGTGAGTTGCAGCTCTGTGTCCTGTGCGGGGTCCTCCTGTGAAACTAGGTTAATGTGGTACCTGATGGATGCGTATGGTGTCTTGTGAATTTGTTTGCCAAAATTTGAACCCGTGCCGGGAAAGTAGCATATACAATGACACCCACAGAAGGAAGTGGCCTCAAACTTCTTCAGATGATTTATTCTATGAGATGCCCTTTTCCAGAAAATTAAGAAATTAATTTTTGGGGGGAGGGGCGCTAGGATACAAATTTCATCACCACGAAAATAATTTCCATAATTGGGTTACTGATACACCTCGAATTCTGGAGCTTGCTTTCTCTCATTTTTTCCCTATGACCCTATGATATAGRGTCTAACCTAGTTTCTAAGATGGGAAAACAGTTCTGAAGAGAAGGTATGTCGCTTGCCTAGGGTCAAACGGTTTGCAAGAGGCAGAGGAGGGATCCAGGCTCAGCCTGTGTAGGATCGACAGTTTCATTTCTGACGACATTTRCATCATTTTACCATCAGACCGGCATCTCTACTCTTCAATGTCAGAGGCTGGACATTTTCAGGGCTCATCTGGAAAGTCCCTCAAGGCAGGGAAGAGATCCTAATCCCTTCAGCCTGGGCCCCAGGGCCTGGAATAGTACAATTTCAATAACTCTGAGTTGGCAGACTGACTCCATGAAAAACAAGTCATTCTGAATCTGGGTGCCAGGGACAGAAAGTTTGGAGTTTCCCCAAAATCATATGTTGATGCCTTCATCCCTCATATGATGGTATTTGAAGATGGGCTTTGGGAGGTGATTTGGGTGAGATGAGGTCATGAGGATGGAGTCCCTGCAATGAGCCTCCAGAGAGCTTTCCTCTCTGCACTGTGAGGACACAGGGAGGCRGTGGCCCTCTGCAAGCCAGGAAGAGTGGCCTCACCAGGCACTGAATGGGCAGGCACTCTGGCTTTGGACTTCCGGTCTCCAGAACTGTTGTTTCGGCTATCCAGTCTGTAGTACTGTCGTGGCAGCCCCAGCTGACGAAGATTCAGGGCTTGTGACCGGTCTCTGCCACCCACCACCCAGGCCCGCTGGTCAAGTCACTTAGCCACATTTTCAGGGCTCATCTGGAAAGTCAGATGGGTGGCTATTCCCCTCTAGGACACTGTGAAGAGTCATGGGGGACAGTATAGGAGGCGAGTGGCATGCTGGGCACTGACCACAGAATGGGCATGCACTTTATCTCACTGATCACTGAATCCCCATGAGCTGCGGGTCTTGGCCTCATTTTATAATGGAGGACCCTGGTCCTGAAAACGCAGAGGAGGGCACAGATCAGGCCCAGGTGGATCCAAAGCCAATGTTCTTCTTCCAGCTCTGTATGAGTCTTCAGAATATGAGTAGGGTTAGAAAGGGGGCTGCAGATAACCCCACTACCAGCTCAGAGTGGGTAGAGATTCTTGGATGTCCAGTTGGCATCCATATAAAAACACTGGGATGTATGWACTGAGCAGGCTCAGAGGGGACAGAGAGGTGGCCAGCTCAAGCCAGGCACAGCAGCAACAAGCCCTCAGGACTGTAGGTACTGATCCTGAATCCCTATGGGCATCCTGTCCATACCTTTGAGACCCCCACCTGAGCAACCACTTACCTTTGCTCTTCCAGTTGCGGTCAGGTGCATAGCCCAGGTGCCCGGCACATTTCCTGTTGAATTCGGCCACCAGGGACCTGTAGGGATTTCGGATGAGCAGGATGGCTGAGTCGAACATCTCAATCTCCCTCTTTCCACTCTCGTGGGTCTTCACGCAGATGGTGCGCCGGCTCCGCCAGTGGTCCTTCTCACCCTTGAACCCTGCCCAGGAGAAGCGCGAGAGCACAGGTAGAGAGAGGCACCTTTGCTCCCCCAGGGGGCGCCGTACGTACACGGCGGCAAAGGTCTGATGCAGGGAAAGGTCTTTCTGAGGGAAAGTCAGCATCAGGGGCAAGAGAGGACCATGGGTGGCACCGCAGGGGACCCGGAAAGGACCTATGGATGGGAATAGGAAAGGAATCTACAGGAGTAGCCCTATCCCAGGGAAGGAGGGAGCAGGAGGTGTTTAAGAGYCAAGAAGGATGCTAACTGCTTAAGAAATAAAGCAAGTCACCTCCTGTAGCCCCCAGGGCTCAGGAGGCAGAAGGCCTAACCACGTACCCTTATGGACTCTCAGATGCACACATACATATGGGGCTTTTCCTGGAGATAACTTCACATGAGCATTGTAAATAGCCTTTGGAGTTAATCAGAGCTGCAGGCAGAGCTGGATGAAGAGATTTAGGCTCAGAGTGGGTATATGATGAACCCAAGATCACACAGCACATGAAACCAGTGCCCTGGCTCTCACCACGTGCCTTTGTATATCTCTGTGAGGCCCTCAGCTTCCATCCACCTCCCCAGAGTCGGGGCAGGAATGCCATCAGGCTTAACTGCTTTGAGCAACTGTCGTCCCACCCTCTGACATTATGCCAGAGCCTGTAACAAGGTCCAGCCTTAGATGTCAGGAGATTCTTCAGCTTAGGACTCAAAGCAGGTCTGGTCAAGGTCTCGTCCACAGTGTTTGAGCCTGGCCCAGAAGAACCCAAGGCTCAATTTCTACAAATGGAGACTTACTCCCATTGACCAACCTCTCTGGGGCCACCTGGGTGCTCAGAGACTGAATGAAAACTGGCTGAGAAAACAAGACTCTACCCGTCCACCCACAGAGGGTCACATGATTGCCTGAGGGCTGTGGTATGCCCACTGGGTTGGCCTTTTCCTCTATGATATAGGGATAGGACAGCCCCTGTCTTTTAGCTTACACTTTAGTAGGTGAAATGGCCTAAGCACAGAGCATAAGGACTTATGGGGATAATAAAGAGTAGGGGAGAAGGGGAGATCAAAGAGCAGGATGTCATAGAAGGATTCCTAGAAAGATCTCACCTGAACTTATCTTGGGCTCTTAGAAACTAAATGAGTCCTTCCATCTGCACCTTCTTCATAAATGGCTGGGAAGTCCTTAAGTCTACAGTAAGCAGCAGAGGTTTCTCTGATGCTGGGGAAATGTAAATCTCCTGAATTTGGAAGTCTGGGTTTATCCATGAAAACCAACGCACGTTTCAAACTCTGCCTAGACACTCGACTGAATCAGTCAGGGTTACTCCAGGGGAATTGGGCTGGCTACTAACTAACCACACAGAGACAGAAAATACCTTTTTGGGGGGTTCAGTGATGGTTCCTCGACCTCAGCTTCCATAAAGGAGGCAGGAGAGGCAGGCAAAGAGAGAGAGAGAGCATGCCTGAAACCCTCTTTATTGGGGGAAAGACACTCGAGAAAGTTCCACCCAAATAAGGCAAGGAATTGGGTTTCAGGGGGTGGCTTGATGATGTCTTGCAGTCATCAGATTGACTGACATCTTGGAAAGCCACACCCATCTCAGCTGCTGGGTGGGACCATAGGTAGAGAGAGCAAAAAGGACACACATGTGTCGCACAGCCCAGTCAGAACAGCAACATCAGTCCAGTCCCCTCAAATGCACATAGATCACACAYAAGGCCCATGTGGCTCGCCACAAAACTCATCACTGCCTTGGGTCAAACAGCAAGAGCCTTTGCTTTGATTCGTTTTCTCAAAGTAGCTGGGAAATGCCACAAAAGGAAGCATCAAAACACCAGCTAAATAAGCTTGAGTTTCTGACAATCCTGAGACCCTGGGTTCCTTCCTTGGTGCTTTAGCCCATTCCATCAGCAGCTAYTCTGCCTTATAGCTCAGACCACATTCACTTGCCACAACAGGTGGGCATTCGGGCATTTGGTGCTGTCTTGTGAATTTTGAAGGTGTGCGTGTCATCACCCAGTGCTCTGAGGTCAGCGGCCACATCCAGTCCTAAAAGGCTCAAAAATCCACTGGGTATCTCTAAAGTATGTTCGACTCAATATCACACCCACCCTCGTCGCTATTCCAGTCTTTGGGACAGACAGTCATAGGGAGACCAAAACCTACGATGCTTCCGTAAGGGGAGGCCTTCTAGAGGAACACTCAGGTMACAGCAGCCTGAGCAGAGGTGACAGGCCAGAGTGGGAAGGACCACAAACTTATCTGACCACTCCCTCCCCCATCTGCAGGTGGTCCTAGCACTCCTGGGGCTGGATGACAGGAGCAATTGTGGCTTTTCCCCAACCAGAGAGATTGTTATGATTCCAGAACCTTCTGCTCAGCTCAGGATGTTTCTGTTTCTCTAGGAGGTTACTGACAATCATCATCTTTTTCCTAAACCAAATTCTGGTTAAGAAACCCAGCAAAAATGCCATAACACTTGACAACAGATAAAKACATTTTGCCAAATTTAGATGCCACTTGACTTGTCTGAGGCTCTTCATTCTTAAACRGCACACAGTCTTGAACCATTTAAGTTAATTTACTTGGCATAATGAGGCCTCTTATTTCTACAAGGAAAAGATTAGAAATCATAAAACTCTTCGAGATTTTTGGACCTATTTAAAGAGAATTGCATTTTGATGAGCTACCCCTTGCCTAAAAAAAAAAAAAAAAAAGGGAAATTCAAAAAATGTTTATAGAGAGGGAATCCAAACTGCGAGTCTGACCCTTTGMATCTGTCTCATGAAGTTCCACCCTAAGTGGTCCCTCGACTGGCGGCATGAGCCTYCCCTGGAAGCTGGTTAGAAATGCACATTCCCAGGCCTCCACCCAGACAAASGGAATCAAACTCTGGGGTGTGGCCCAGGAATCTGTATTCTAGAAAGGCAGTCAGGCGATCCCCATGCATGCTCAAGGTTGACAGGTACGGCTCTCATGCCCCAGGAGGGGACAGTCTAACCTCTGGGAGCTCCTTTGCCCCTCCCTGCAGCTTCGACTTGCCTTTGTTGTAGAGGGTCCCGTCAAAGTAGTAGCTCCCTGTATAGAAGCCGGTGGCGTGCTCGATCAGGTGCCTGGCCCACGTGTTGCCGGCTCCCGGGAAGCTCGACAAAGCCACAAACACCTTGGATTTGTTGGGCAGGAACCTCCTGTCCGTGCACCGAGTATCTGAAAGTCCAGAAGTCATCACAGGGTTACTCCCCTCCCTTCCAGGTTCCCCAGGATAAGATCTGATGATCCAAGATTTCCATTTAACAGATGGGAAAACCAGGGCCCAGTGAGGTAAAGGCATTTGCCACCTGAACCTTGGGTGCACAGGTCTGCAGCTGGCCAAAGAAAGCCCCATGACAAGGCTGCTCTATCGACTTTCACCCCACTTCATGTCTACGGCCACAGCCAAACTCTGGCTTGTAGCATTTCCCAGATGACTCCAGATTCTAATAGCAGAGCCGGGCTGAGCCATGTCACAGACCACAGGGAACCAGGGCTGGCCTCATTGAAGGCGAGCAATTCTTTGGAGCTCATCTTCCTTTTCTAGCAYGTGACATGGCCAGGAGAAAGTCCCCAGACCCTCAGGCCCTCAGGGCTGTGCTAGTCTGAGCTGATGCTCCAGAAGTTGGGAATCTTCCTCTCCACCTGCTTGTCCCCTCTCAGTTCTTAAAGTCAGCTAGAGCAGATGTGATGCTCACACCAAGGACGATACCAGGGTCTAGAGGCCTTAGAGATGGAGCTCTCTTCTCCCCAAGCMCCCCAACCCCACCACCTGCCATTGATGTCCCTCTGGGCCTGCCCTTCTTCCCCACTCTTCTCATCCTCCTGTTACCCCATCATCCCCAGAGAGACTCAGATAAAGGACCAGGGGTTCCTGAAACTGAGCCCTGGCGTCCATCTCTCACTGGCTCAGATGCTGGAGACTCAACACACACACCTTCCCCACCCAGTTCCGGGGGGATCGTCAGCATCTCCAATCCTGGGAACTCTCCCCATCTCAGACCCAAAGCCACCACTCCCAGTGATGGCTGCRGATCTCACCTTGCACTGGCGTCTGGTAGACCTCGCAGTAACTCGCCAGCCTCTGCGCCTYGGGGACCTGGCCACACAGCGAGCTGTCCACAGCATCCCGCAGATTGAACTGTGGGGTGGGGTAAGCACAGTAGCATTCCCAGCCCCGGAGGACRGCCAAGGGGAACTCCTGCCGGGGAAGGAGAAGAGGAGGAACTGGGGTGAACAYGAGGGCCCCGCCTTCCCGCTGCTCAGGCTCCAGGTGGGACAGATGTGGGGACCGTCTGATGCCTTGGTCAACAGGGGTGACTGTCCTCCTTCCATGAGCAGGTGCTGTGCTCAAATCCAGGGAGACAAACTCAACAAGACATGRCTTCTGCCCTCTAGGAGCTCTGAGTCAGCACAGTGTAAGTGTGCAGAGGGGTGGGTGAAGGGCAGGAAGCAGGAAGCAGGGCCCGGAAGTGAGCTTTGAGAGGTCCAGGTGTTTGCCAGGGGTGTGGGCAGGGGAAGGGCAATGCAGAGAGGGGGCTTCACATGAGCTCAGGGGTCACAGTCACACCTTGGTCCATCATTTCCCGAAAAGAGACTGAAGCCAACCCTTGGGCWTGATGTCCCACTGCAGAGTGGGGACATATTTCCACACAGTCATTGTTTTCAAAGATGGAACAGGTGGGGAAACACAGTCCTTGTTCCTTGTCCAAGGTGGCCCATGTGACGGGGGTTTCCTGAAAAAGGAGGGACCCTTCTGGGTTAGGAGAGAAGAAATGCCACCCTGTGGGGACCCAGCCAGCTCCTGGCAGTCTCTCAGGGGGTTCTGGTTCCAATTTGGTGGGGCTGCACCATCCAGTGGAGTGGGCTGGTTCCTGAAGACTGGAAAGCTACTTACACACTTGCTGGGCAACTTGGGTAAGAAACTGAATCTCTCTGAATCTCACCATTGAGAAAAGGTAATAAAATCCATCTTGTAGGTATATGGTGATGGCTAGACGAGACAGGTACAAACTGCCCAGCACTGGGCCTGGTCCACAGGAGCTGCTTCACCGAGGAATAAACCATCCTTAGCCTCACCCCTTTGGGCACCTGCCACAGCTCACTCAAAAAYGCATCTACCCACCTTTTCCACCTATTTTTTTTGAGCACCTACTATGCACCAGGCACTGGGTAGGGACATTTAGCCCCGTTTCATCTCCACTCCTTCCTGTGTCTTTCCACCAGAGATGCTGGGTCCCCTGGAGCGTGGAGGGATGAGGGAGCCGTCCGTGAGCGTGTGCAAGGGAGGAAGGCAGTGGGTGGAGGGAACTGCTCACTGCCGAGGGAATCGCTGCACAAACCTTTTTATTTATTTTTTTGCCCACAGCGAGAAATCTCATAAATAAATAAATAAAAGAAAATCGATAGCATTTACTATGCACGGCTTGCTAAAGCTGAGGATCTCACCACTCCCGTAAGACAATAGAGAAGACACAGACAGGGAGGGCCAGGCAGAGCCCCCGGGGAAGTGGGAGGAAATGCTGCTGAGTGCTTCTTGAACCCCAGGTTGAATCCTCTCCCAGGCCCGGCAGCCCCTGGGAAAGGTCCCCCAAGTCCCTGTCCCTCACCCTTCCTTAAACCAAGGAGGCCTCTGCGCTCGCGGGGAGAGTACAAGAGGCTGAGGAGCCCCACGTCTCCACAGCTAGACTCCATGGCCACTTCCTTCCCAACGGAAAGCGCCATCTGGGACCTGACCCTCAACCAGAACCCCGCTGGCTTTGCTGCGAGCAAGTGTCCACTGTGATGTGAATTCATGAAAAGAGATCTCAAGAAGTGTGACCTCTGACCCCTCTCACAGAGACCTCGTTGAGAGCTGGGAATGGAGCTCAGTGGTGGAGGCCTGCCTGGCATGCACGGGCCCTGGGGTTCATKGCTAGTACCCCAAACAAAAACCAGTCGAAAAAACCCCAAAACAACAACAACACAACAAGCCCTTGTCCCACCTTGTCCCACATGGACACCTCATGCCCAGGGAGAAACCAGCGGCCCRGCTCCCAGGGTGCAACTTGAGAGCTCACACAGGGGCCTGGCTGTGCCCCCCCACCCTCCACTTCCATTCATATTAACTATAATGAGTGGAACTATGTCCCCCAAATTCAAGCCCTGAAGCTCTAACCCCAGTACCTCAAAATATGACCTTAYTGAAAAGATGAGCTTCATGGAGATAATTAAGATGAAGCCTTTAGGAGGGGCCCTAATGCAATATGACGGGTGTCCCTGTGCAGAGAAGAGGTTAAGACAGACAGCATACAGACCTAGGGACAACTATCTGAGGACCCACTGGGAATCGACCACCTGCAGGCCAAGGAGAGAGGTCTCAGGAGAAACCTTCTGACACCTCCAGATCTCTGAAGGTAAATGTGTGTCATTTAAGCCACCCAACCTGTGTCACAGCAGCCTGTGCACACTCAAGACAATGGCCTTCTTGCTGTTCCTGACCACTCTGTTCCGGCTCCTACCTCAGGACATTTGCATTTGCTGGTCTATCCTCTTGGRATGTTCTCCAGATACCCTTGTGGCTCTCTCCCCCTCACCGTCTTCAAGTCACTGTCTCAGCGCCACCCCTTTACAAGTTGCAGTGCCCCTCCCATCTTCCTCAACACACCCTGCTCCCGTGCTCTGCTYTCTAATTTTGTTAAATAACCCCCCTGGTGTAGTGCTTAATCCATTTTGGTGAATACACACCAAGACCGGCAGCATGTCCATCACACCAGAGGGTCCTCTGCCCCTTTGCCCTCATCCCTCTGTCATCCAAAGCAACCACTCCTCTGATTTCTATCACCACTGACCTGTTCTAAAACATCATACAAATAGAATCACCCAGTTCCTATTTTTGTGTGTCTGGCTTCTTTCATTTGGAAAAATATTTGTCAAATTCATCCCTGTTTTTTTTTTATGTGTCTATATGTGGGTCCTTTTCATTGGCACATAGTATTCTATGTGTAGACAGGACARTGTGTTGATTCATCCACTTGTTGATGGACATCTGGGCTGTTTCCAGCTTCTAGCTATTGTGAATAAAGCTGCATTAAATATCCTCGTACAAGGCTTTTAGTGGATAGATGTTTTCATTTCTCATGGGTAAACACCTACGAAGCTTGCCTCATTTTTMTTTCCTGAGCTTATCAACACAACATACTATGTACTTTACATATTTATCTGGTTGACTGCCTGCCTCTACCCAGGAGGATGCAAGCAGGGAAAGGTTTCTTGTGAGCTTTGTATGCTTTGCTATATCTTCAGCACCTAAAGTAGTGTCTCTCCTGTGGCAGATACTCAATAAATGTTTGATGTATGAATGCATGAATGAATGAACGGATAGATAGATGGATGTATGGATAGATAGATGGATGGATGGATGGATGAATGGATGGATGGATGGATAGATGGATGGATGATGGATGGATGGATGATGGATGGATGGATGAATGGATGGATGGATGGATGGATGAATGGATGAATGAATGGATGGATGAATGAGTGGATGGATGAATAGATGAATGGATGGATGGATGGATAGATGGATGGATGGATGAATGGATAGATGAATAAATTTTTTTATTGAATAGATGAATAGATTGATAGATGAATAGATGGATGGATTGATAGATGAATAGATGGATGGATGGATAGATGGAGGATAGATGGATGGATGGATGGATAGATAGATGGATGAATGGATAGATGAATGGACAGATGGATGGATGGATGGATGAATGGATGGATGGATGAATGGATGGATGGATGGATAGATATATGGATGAATGGATAGATGAATGAATGGATGGATGGATGGATGGATGGATGACCAAACTCCTTTCCAGATCCCAAGCCCCTCAAACGCCATTCCAATCACCTCGAACACTATTTTTCTGCTGGTTGTTGGGCCAATAGCCTCACTGGGTGTGAAGGAGGAGACAAAAATCCTGCTACTGCTAAGAAAAACCTCCCCAAGCTCAGGAACCTTGGGGTTGGGGGCTGTGCTGTCTTGGGATTTCCGTTCAGAGGCAGGCGTGGGAAATCTGCTGGGCGCACGCGGGCTCCGTCTCCCTCCCCAGCAGCACCAGCACTACCAATGCTGATGCCTCACAATCTTATATCCCAGGGCTGCAGAATGAGCTGCCCCCACCAGTGACCCGAACCTTTTTTTTGCTTCCCTGAGTGGATTAAACTGTCAAGTTTCCGGGTGTTTGCAGAGCGGCGGGAGAACTGCAGACAGTAATGTGGTTTTATTTACAACATAACCGCTTCAGCAACATCACTGGATTCTGAAAACACAGAACAATTTTCAGCCCCTTGGGGATTTCTAGGACATGATTTCCATAAAAATTAAATATTGATGAATCTTATCTCTCTGCCAACTTACATTCCCCCCCCCCTACCCCGCCACCATTCCAAGCTTCAGTGAGGAGAGAAAGGGCAGAGAGGAGGAGAAGAGGATTCGGAGAAAGGAAGGCAGATAAAGAAAGCAGGCGTGGGGTGGTTTCAAACAAACCCAAGAGGRGGCTTGAATGGAAGCACCTCGCCCATCCTGGACAGGGCAGAGACACACCTTGACACTGCACCTGCAGCTGGAGGCAGGGCAGGGGGCAGGATAGGAACTTATCTGGAGGTTTGGGGGATCTGCATCTGAGCCTGACAGGAGGGTGGGCTTTCGGCTTGGAGCCAGGTCATGAAACCATAAGRGCTGGGCTTTGTAGGAAGTGAGGATCCACGTGCAAAAGCTTGGCCCATGGCCAAGGGATCGAGGAATGGATATTCCATCACATGTGGAGCCAGGGTCSCAGCAGGCATGTCCAGGCCTTGCCTCCTCCAACTCCATCCTTCTCTGAGTAACATTCTCAGGATCTCCCAAACTGTGCAGAATTATAGAAATTTGAGAGAGCACAGAGGGGAAATGGAGGCAAAAAAGGCAGGTGACCCATAGCCCAAGATCTCCAGTCTGTCAGGTGAGTGGGCACAGAGTCAGCCTCCTGGATTCCAAGACCCGTGCTTTGCCCAATCACCGTGACTTGACTCCTTGGGGGCAAACCAAGGAGAGCAGGGCTGAGGATTCCCAGAGAAATATGTGAGCCCGTCTCTCATCTCCGGGGCCTTCGCTTCATTCCAGAGGCAGCTCTGAACATTTAAGATGTGGGAAGGAAAGAAGATGTGTGCAAG